ACCCAAACTCTACGTACCTACCCCCCCCCCCCCCAAACCCCCCACCCCACCCAAAGGACTAGTTTTTTGTTTTTCAAAAACAAGGATCAGAGATTTTCCAGTCGTATTTGTGGTAGCTTTTCAATGTATTACACTATCCTTTCTACTATTATGAACTTTTATCATTGCATTATTTGGTATTTCTTTCTTGAAGCAATCTCAAATTCATCTTGTAACATATATAGGTACTGGTTAAGCATTATGTGAGCTCTTTATAGAGGAAAATGAAAAGGCACTGATTCGAATAATAGATTGGTACAAGTAGTATAATATCCAGAGTAATAGATAGTAAAAGAAGTATGATGTCTGTAAAATATGTGTTTATAAAGTCATTGAACATGGTGCATCTAAATCGATCTGCCAAGCTGATCCACTTGGTTCTGTTCACCTTAAGCACAATGCAGAGCTCAGCTCTACATCAAGAAATTGGTTTTATATACTCCCTTTGTTGGTTAAGATATGTTATTCAGCTTTATATTCAAGTAGAAGACAGTCTGGTCTTTAGAACCAAAGGTGCAAAGCTTGATGAGATTTACGATGGAATTATTTAAAGTAGATGCATGTAAATTACAACAAGCCAATAGAAATAAAAAAGTATGTTTCTCATGACCTAAGGTGTGGAATCATCTTAAATTTTGTGAACTTCAGAACGTTTTGCGTTTTGTTGCACGTTTGAAGGGCATAATAGCCCAAGAATGTGGCCTAGTGGTTAATAAAGGTCAAAATAGCACGGTATAGCCAGTTTTCAGACTGGTCATTCAAAAATAGTCAGCGTTTATCAAGTCAATGAAAAATAGCCACTATTTTGCTGCAACAGAGACCAGTCCAGCATAATATACTGGAGTTCGGTGCACCTGTGTATGAACTCCAGCATATTATGCTGGACCGGTATACTTTGCTGGCTCCAGTATAATATACTGGAGATTGGAGCACCGGTGCTCCAAACTCCAGTATATTATGCTGGACCGGTCTACTTGCTGAAACTCCAGTATATTATGCTGGAGTTCTAGTGTACTTATGCTGGAACTCCATCATATTATGCTGGAGTTCCAGCATACTTATCCTGGAACTCCAGTATAATATGCTGGAGTTCAAGTATACTTATGATGGAACTCCAGCATAATATACTGGCGTGTTTTCCGGGTTTTGAACAATGTTTTCGCTCAGATTTATCTTTACATGAAAAGTGACTAAATTTCGATTACTTTTGAAACTGGGCTATTTTTAAACAAACAGTTGTAAATCTGGCTATTTTTAAATTTCTCCCTTAATAAAGTGGATGAAAACTATGAAACATTATGATTTTTATTTCAGTAGAAACAAAAAAAAGTAGGTGGGTTCATCTTCATATCTGGGTTTTGAAGGGCAAAGTTATTAGGTACATACTTGTGTTGGTGAAATATAGCAAATGCCGGGTGCAATAGTCAAGGTACACATAAGCTAGTTTATACACCAACATGATCCGAGAAAAGTCTCTCAGCAAGGTCATAAAATCCTAACATGAGAAGTTTTGCTTGCTGTAAAGGAATGCAAGAAGATTTTAGGCATACGTTTTTTCAGGAAGTAGTAATAGAAGACCATTCTAGGAGTTCTAGAAGTCGCGGCCTTATGCGGATGGAACATTATTGCATATTCTGTCCAGCACAAATAGAACGCAGCTGATGCAATCTGAGCAGCATTTTATACAACTTTCAGTATTCTCAAATCTCACCATATGCGGCTGATTATCTGCTAATTTATTAGTAAAAGTAACAATTGCTGTCATTGATTAATAGGAGTCAATCTCCCTAGCTTACTACAATGAAGAACGGCTAGATGAGTACGGTAAAAGCTTATACGTACCCGGTGCTTACATCAAACCAACATATACATGACATGACATACGTTGGCACATGGACTTCTAGCACTTAACCATGCTTAATTAATATGTATTCACAAAATTTATAACATGTCCTCATAAAATTGGATGTGCTAGGACGTGCTTTCTTTGGCACGTATTACAGCATTATCCAAGAGTGATGAAAAATCGGTAAGAGCTTCAATCACATCACCATTTGGCTGTGAGGGAGCTAGTTAGTTCCTCCACATTGGTGCCCAAATGTGATGTCAACTAGGAAGCTGGTCCAAAAGAGTAGGATTACGCTAGGTAGTTAGAAAGAAAGCTAATTGTTAGTTTGAGTGCCTTCTATATGTGTTAATCGGGCCGGGCTGAACCGTTTTCAACCCGGTTCAGCCCGGTTCAGCCCGTTACTGTAGCTTAATGTGCGGGCTGGGACGGGTTGGTCGGGGGGCGGGTTTTGGACGAACATATTTTGGATAACGGTGCATCGTACGCGCTAAGCCCGTTAAAACGGGTTGTTAACGGGCTACAGCCCGTTATCAGCCCGATTACCGTTACAATTTTTTTAAAATTATTTGGACCGTTGCCAAAGGTCAAAATTTAATTAAAAAAATAAAAAAAAAAACACTAGCCCAGCCCGCCCGAACCTGTTAAGCCCTAACCCGAACGGGCCCACAATAACCCGAAAATTTCCAACCCGTTATCCCAGCCCACTAACCAACCCGGTCCGATAACGGACGGGCTGGTTTTTTTTTGTTCAACCCGTCCCAGCCAGCCCGATAAACACCTCTAGTGCCTTCCTAGATTACTAAAGAACTTGGTTCTTTCCCTAATTCCTTTAGCGTAAACGAAATAAACAGTAAAAAGCAAAGACATCAATTTTTACGTGGAAAATCACTCAGCTCAAAGGTGCAAAAACCATGACCTACTACGTAGTATTTTAGCTTCAACTTCATCAAAACAAATGAGCCAAAATTACTAATTACAAGATCTATAAATCAATACCCACACAATTCTCCTGCTTCAACTATTTTAGAGAATTACAAGTTGCTCTAACTTGCACACTCAAAATACTTACTTTACTCGATAGATTATGTATGACAACTTGATTACAACTCGATTTGCTAATACACATTCACAAACTGACTCAAGAAGAATACTAAGACTAAAAATCGACTTGAGTATTGAAAATGTTGTTCCACAGTTGACGTGCAAAAGGATAATCTCCTTAGTCCATCAGGAAAGTATTTAAGCTCACTAGACTTCAAAATCTTTTAGAGTCCTATACATAGTCAAGTTCTCACTTGATAGGACTCCTACAGTTTCAAGGACACCACAAATCAAGTAATTTTTATCTATCACTTATATGCGAGCATATCTTCTGGGACAACAACCCTTATCATATCAACAACTTTCTTCCAACAATCTCGGACTCGAGTAACTTGTGAAAAAGTTACCGCCTTGTAAGAATCTCCAACAACTATCTTGAGTACATGGTTCTCAGCAACCTCCAACAGCTACCTTGAGGACCTAGTTCTTAGCGCACATTCACTGGACACACTTTGTTAATCTTCAAAATCCCAACTTTCAACAAATTTTTCCTTTTTGATGATGACAAACTTTGTGCCCATAAATCAGGTATTCATGCATGATCAATTCATCAGAACAATAGCAGCACAACACTAACACACTTGACCCAATTCAGATTTAGAGCATTAACTACCCCTAACTTTATCTTCCCCCTTTTGGTATCAACAGGAAAAAAACAAGTTGTTAGACAGACAAGTATAGTTAATGCAAGATTCATGTCCATCAAGGCTACAACACAAGCATAATATAAATCAAGACCAATGAACTA